TTGCATTTTGCGACCCACTGGCCTTATGCTCCATGGTGCCAGGCATGTGTAGCATGCCGGGCGAAGGAAGACCACTACAAGAATGTGACTGAGAAGGAGATATGGGAAAGAACATCATCCAGCTGGACTTCTTCTGATTCTACACCTATACTGGAGATGAAGGACGCCTAGATGAGACGCCAGCTGGAAAGGTCCAAGAAAGACAGGATCAATACGGGACATGCTTGCTGCCCGTATATCCAGTGAGACAAAATCCATCCACACTGTGCCTATTCCGACTAAGGGCAGTGCCAGTCTCAAGAATGTCACGGAGGAGATTGTGAGATTCACCCTCGAGAATGCCTCCAGAGACAATTGCATCCTGCAGGCCGACGGGGAACGGGCCACCAGACAGATTTTGCGCTCGGTGCAACAGGTCAGAAGTGTGATGGGGCTGCACACTAACCTGAGGATCACTGGCACTGGGCAGCATGCCTCAAATGGTCAAGCAGAAAGGGCAGTGTAGACAGTTAGAAGGCTTGCAAAGTGCTTGAGGGCATTTGCTGGAGACAAAGCCCGCATCAACATCTTGGGAAACTTCCATTTGTTCCCATGGTCCTTCAGGCATGCGGCCTTCCTCGTCAACAGGTTCCGGGTGCTGGATGGTTGTAAGAAGACGAGCCATGAACTCGCTACTGGACATTCCTACCGAGGGAAGTTGGCACTGTTTGGAGAAAGTGTCATGTTCAAAAGGATGGACGATCCGGAGACTCCTTCAAGAGCTTGGGCATTCTGTGCGCAAAAGGTCTGCCGTGGAGTTACTCACCGCAAGGCATCCTGATGAGACATGCAGGTCAGGCTCAAAAGTACCGAATGCCCGTAGAAGCCCATGGAGATGAGGAAGTTGGAGCCGACTACATCCCAGAGGAGTTGATGGAGGAGGAATTCTGGGGATATGGAGGCGAAGAAGGTGATGAGCCGCTTGAAGTCAGCGAGGAGGAACTGGAGCAGTTGGACATCCAGGCTAAGGAGAAGGAGATCAATCGGATGTTGAAGATGCCGGCCATGGTAGAGGTGGAAGCTGATGAAGTTGAGCTCAGTGGAGGATATGTCATTTCCACCAAAAAGGTCATGTGCTGGAAACACTGATTAGATCAAGGCGGGTGGTTTCGAAGAGCTCGATTGGTGGCAAGGCAGTTCAGAAATTCAGTACAACTGGAGCAAACATTCGCCCCGACTGGAATGATGTGCCTACCAAAGATGCTCCTCCACTTGACTTTGAACGTCTACCTGGGATTCTCGGTCATGACTTTGGACGTAAAGGACGCCTTCCTGATGTCGCCACAACCTGCTGAAGAACGAGCCTATGTCAGGGTGAATGGTCGCATATTCAAGCTGCTTCGTTGCTTGCCAGGGCAAAGGACAGCTGCATCACAATGGTTCCAATTGTTTGCAGGAGCGTGCGCTGAGTTTGGAATGCAGCAAGATCCGATGCAACCCACCTTGCTTTACCTCCCAGGAGAGATGTACCTAACGGTACATGTGGACGACGTGTTCATGGTGGGCATCACACAACGCCTCAGGGACTTTGTGAACTGCCTGAAGGAAAAGAAGGGATGACCGTTCAAAGCTGGAGAAAAGTTCCACTACCTGAAGCGGGAGTTCACCTTGAGGTCACACCATTGCGATGTGAGGTGTGATAGGACGCAGTATGACAGTTTTGAGAAAGATGTGGACCTGTCCCTCTGGATGCCAACTTCACAAAGAAGGACAACTCATCTGCACTCGAAGGAGGAGAAGTCGCCAAATACCGAAGTATCGTGGGCAGGCTGATGTACCTGGCTGGAGAAAGACCAGACGCTCAATTTGCGATTCAGTGCCTTGCAAGACACATGGCAAAACCCACGACACAGGCCATGAAGCATGCTTGGCGCGTGTGCTCCTACTTGTTCGGCGCTGGAGGCTATGGAGTCCGCATCGACAGCAAGCGCCGTGGACAATCGGTGATGGACATGAGATGCTCGGTAGATGTGGAGCCACTGGAGCAACGCCTCATCGAAGTTGTGACCGATGCTGACTATGCAGGAAATCAGCACGACCGGAAGTCAACGAGCTCCTTTCAGATTTTCATCGATGGGAACCTGGTTGAATCGAAGGTGAGGTTACAGAAAGCCATATCCTTGTCTTCAAACGAAGCAGAGTTCGTGGCGATGGTGGCAGGTTGCTCTGAGGGACTGCTGATCAAGCATCTATGGCAGCAGCTGACAGGTGCAGCATGCATCTTGAAGATCAGATCAGACAGCTCTGCTGCCAGGGCGATGACCCAGAGACAAGGAATTGGAAGAGTAGGCCATCCAGCAGAAGGAGAAAGAGAAGGTGGTGATGATCATGCCCATACCCACAGATCTCAACTGTGCCGACCTTGGAACAAAATGTTTGAGCAAAAAGAGGCACAAAGCTCTTCTGTGGATGTTGAATGTGGTGGACGCTGTTGGTGACCGCGTGGGTGAAGAGGAGTTCCATGAGCTTGAAGAGCAGCGCAACCTGAAGCAGAGCGTCAAGAAGTTTGGAAAGAGCAAAGACATGAGGATTGGATTGCTGATGTTGCTCAGCACTTTGACAAGGGCAACTGGCATGGCAAATGAGGGAGAAGGACATGTACACGAAGGTGTGGATTGGGGCTGGATGGCCCTGTGTACATGCGCTGTGCTTGGGGCCTTGAGCTTGATGAAGTGGTTGCGGGTCTATGTGATCGAGATTTTCGATGGCGCGAAGGACATCTTGATGAAGTGTGTGGAGAAGATGATGGAGAGCAGAAAGGTCACGATGACCTGGAGGATTATGGTGGAAGAGAGAGAAACGCAAACGACCGCGGAGGTCACGAATCCAGACCTCCAGAAGTGTTCGAAGGAACTTGAAGAAGCCCATTTGCGGAATTTCCACCTGGACACTTACATAGAAGAATTGGAAGAGAAACTGAGAGGTGTACAGGAAGTCATGGATGATTTTATGATCCAGACTCGACTCTCGGCTTCTCGAGCCACAAAGGTGGAGAACCAATTGTGCAATTTGCGCATGACCGCAAATGGCAGGGCAGTGCACTTTTCTCCCAAGTGCAAGTTCTGGGAGCGTGCACAGGAAATCCAAATGTGCAAAACATGTACACAGGAAGGAGGAGTGACAAACATACATGGGGGTTCACATGCCCATACATGAGAGTACAGTCCTGTGTACATGACACGCACAAAACGAGACTGCATAACATGGCCGAACACAGGCCCAAGCTCGACAGCAAAAGCCGCACTTTCTCATTTTCATATAATGTATTGACTCAAGGTGGTAAGGGAAAGGTCAATTGTGCCAGTATGCTCCAACAGCCTCAATATCAAAGTTCTCCGTAGACAACGTGACATGCCTTCCAGGATGCTGACAAGAAGAAGACTCAGCAGCAACAGCAGCAGCTTGGTGCCATTTCTTTTGTTTCTTGTTCTCGTACTGTATCATTTCTGGCATTGCAGCTTCGTCCAACTTTTAGAGGATAATTGATTGATAGTCATCAACGAATTGAACAAACAGGGGGAATACAAAGGGGCCGTGAACATGCAAATGAAATTGCAGTAGAAGGGGGTGAAAGAGGTGAAGCCGAAGTTAGCGAAGACAACCAACCCCATCAGTCAGAGCAGGTAAATCAGAGCCAAGCACGTAGCAGCATCGCATGCAAGACCAGCATTTCAATCAGACCATGTCACATTGAAGCACTTTGGCAGCCCGATTGGCGTGGTCATGAATCATGAATGGCGCAGATTCGGATTCATGGGAGCCAAATTGGAGATCGAAGCCTCGAGGAACGCTCTGATAAAGAGAGACGGGTCAACCCCTAATAGAGAGGTGGCAGCCACGAAGTCATTGAACAAATAGGTTGGGTACTGCACAAGCCACAGCTAAGGAAGAAAGCAGCAGCACCCAAGCCATCCAAGCCTGAAGAGGAGGCCTGGGCTAGGAGTTTCTTCCCAAATTCTCAAGATGTTCGGTATTTGGGCCCTTCAGGCGAAGGGCAAGGTGCCTGAGGAGGTTGAGAAAAGTGAGAAGGTCAAGACAGCCGACACTGAGAGTGGCCCTAGTCAGGTTCAGCAAAAGACGCTCAGCATCAAGCTAAGAGCATCGACGACTTGTTGGTTCTGTTGCCAGTGCCGATGTGATGTCTGAAGTGCAAGGATTGATGATGCCGTGAAGCAGGCCAAAGAAGCTGGAGATGCAAAATTTGAATTCGAGGCTCGGAATCAACTCCCACAACCTGCGATTTTATTGCTTCTGGAAAAGGCAGGTTGTGTCATGTATGGTCCCTCGGCCGTTGCCGCTGTGCTGCTTTGCACAGGTCAAATGTGTTTCTGCTCGGGGTTTGCGAGATGCTGACTGGCTCGAAGGAACCTCTTATCCCTATTGCCTTTGCGAAGCAGTGGGCAAGGTGCCTGTGCACTTCAGTTGGCATTCGCACCAAAGGTGGTTTCAATTCGCTCTGAGTGTCTTGACTTTCTTGAGTGCAGGGAATCTAGGCAGTGAGCCCTACGATTGGCCAGCATTGCTCCCACAACTGTGGTCCACTTTCAGAAACATGTCGAATTCCACACGTAAAGACTGCGCCCCAATTGCACAGTTCTGAAAGTGGTAGATGTTCGCCGTAACATGTGAACCATGCATGCCGGTACAAGATTGCTACTTATTCAGTCCTTCAGCCAGGTGAAGTGCAAATTCAAGACCAAGACCGTCAACAACAAAGAGAACCCCGCTCCTTGGCACCTTCTTTGGAATCTTTTGGGCACGACCTGCTCAGTGCAAATTTCATTGTTCGTTTCATCTCGAGGTCTGGAACCAGGCGGCAAAGATGCAACTTTGCCATGGCGACAAGCTGAAGTTCTCTATTTTTGATCAGGTCAGTCCACGCCTGCGATGCCAGCTTTCCGTCCTTCGCGTTGCTTGTTTCGGAGGCATGCGTCTCGTAGGGCTCTATTCTTGTCACTCGCAGATGGGATTTGGCTCAGAGCGGGTCAAAGGGCTAGTAGGGCACTCCCTTGCGTGGCGTCTAGCGCAAGATGAGGCCATTGCTCATGACTGATATGACATATGACTGACAGTAAACCGCAAACGCGTAAGGCGTGATTGTCTATTGAGTCTATTGTGTGACTAATTCTCGTTGTGCTCGTGTTGCTGGAGGGAGCTATGGAGCTGCTTCATCCTACATATGATCCACAGCGCTCGCGGCGATAGCAGCTGTCCGGCAGGTGCAGGCAGGAGTCCGAGTGCCGGCAGAACTAAGACTGGTAGGACTCGCGACAGCTGAGGTGCTGCCTGCGTGGCAGATGAGACCATCACAGCAAGTCAAGTTATTCGGCAGATGCCGTCGATGCCGCCAGCGCCTACTCCACAAGTGGACCTAATTGCGCAGGCACCGCTGCTCGCGGCTTTCGGAAGACCATGGGGATCCATGTGGCAAGCAAAAGAGTAAGAGGTTGCAACACCACTTCAGTCGTGTATTACAAGGTGGTGTTTTCCTCCTAGATTTTTGCAATTCACTTGAATACACAGAGTTTTAATTGAGACATATTTTGACGTTCACACTTAAATAGTCACCGAGTGTTTGGCTAGTTACTTCGAAAAAGCAGAAATTCAGTGTATATGGACTTGCGACACGGTGACTAAAGATGAAGCCCTGAGCCCTGAGCCAACTGTTTATCCGCTCTGGCTCGTCAGCCTTTGGTCACACGAACGGTTGCCCCGCTTTGTGCCCGTTCACGTGGGTGCTGCGCTGGGTGACAGGTCCGGCCTCATAGTTTCGTCGTGTGCGCAACCGAGGCTTGCCACGGGCCGACTAACTTTCAACAACCTATTTGCAAGTGGAAAAAAACCACGCCAAACACACACAGATACATACAGCTATATGTACATATATCTATATCTGGATCTGTATTTGTATCTATATATCTACCTATCTCTATCTCTATCTCTCTATCTCCCTATCTCTCTATCTCTCTATCTCTCTATCTCTCTATCTCTCTGTCTATCTCTCTCTCTCTCTACCTACCTACCTACCTACCTACCTAGCTAGCTAGCTAGCTAGCTATCTATCTATCTATCTATCTATTGAGTGTGTTCACACACCATACATGGTAGGAGTGAATGAGGGAGGAGGTGGGTGTGTGCCATGATCCCTCCGTCAGGTGGAGTGTTTCCACCCTCTCGGAACCAGGAAATCAGCACCGTAGAAGCCCAGGTGTCGTCTCGAACCGGTTCGTGTCGGGTTTAGGTTTGGGAAGGTATCCGTTCAGGTAGCCATGACAGCCCAAGCCCCGTGGGACGACGACGACCCCCGGGCGGGCACGCCACTGCTATAGCGCGTCGTCCGCTACACGCTTTTGGTATGGGGCTTTCCGCTTGCTGGTGACGTTCGCGGTGTGCTGGCGAGCTTCAACATGGTGGCACGGGTCGCGGCAGAGCCAACTCGAGGAGATCGGAGTCATCTTCGACGCTCGGAGACAGTTCGGAACCAACGTCCACCGCATGGTGTGTGCGGAGCCAGAAACGAGTTCATCACCGCCTCCGCAGATGCAATAACTGGTTCCATGCGGTACAGGAGAGGTATCGCCCGAGCAGCCGGAGACAAGGAGACCCAGGAGCTCAACGACCCCTCGGGAGTGGATGAACGCGGTGACGGAGGAAGACACGTGGTTTGTGTACAGTCACGCAACATCGACGTGGTTGAGCAAGCGCTCGAAAAGGCGAAAGCTGGCGCAACTACTGGAGGTCTGCAGGGCCGCCGGTGACAGAGGAAGTCCTGACGCAGGTGGCTGCCTTATTGGATCAGACAAACATGCAGTCGTCGGACCAGTATTTGGCAGAACTGAAGTTATGGCATGTGGAGACGCACCACCCGTGGTCGCAAGCCTTGGAGAGGCGCCTCACGCTATGCAAGAAAGCGTTGAAGAGGGACATCGGTCCGGAGAAAAGAGCGCTGGAGGTGAAACTGGAGGAGCTAGACAACTTAGTATGGGATCTAAGAAGTCACAAAGAGCTCGAGCCGGTTCGCGTTGCCTGGTCCTATACGCATGGGCTACGCATTGGATGTTGAGAGCAGCGGAGGCAGCGGTCGTCAAGGCGAAGCATGTGGTGCTGAATTGGAAGAGGAGAGACGCTCGTTCATCCCCAAGTCCAAGACGGACCAACAGGCGAAAGGCGCGTGGAGAACCTTGCAGTGCTGCGGGGACAAACAGTGTGACGTCCTGTGCCCCTGGAACCTGGCAGTCACTGCCTGAAGGACAAGGAGAGCCCACTCTTTCCCACGTATGCTGGCGCCCAAGTCTCAAAAGAACAGATGGTGAGAGCCTGGCAGAACAACCTTAACCCAAGGATGTCCGGGCACTTGGCCAGGAGATCTGGTGCCATGATGTGCACGAGGAAGGGCTTGGGCATCTACGACATATCGTTGTTGGGGAGATGGAAGTCATCCGCGGTGCTGCGGTATATCGATGCCGCTGAATCCGCGCGACAGACCGAGCAACGGCCAAAGAGGCGCAGCTCGACCAGGCGGAAACAGAAGCAAACAGGCCAGAAAAGAAGAGAAAAATGGTGGGTCAGGCTCAGGCGGAGAAACATGAGGAGAACTATGACCCGCCGCACCGCCAGCCAATAGACAAGTCCCAGCTCTTTGTGGTGTCAACATCCGCAAAGGGCAAGATGAGACACACCGTGGCCAATGCGGGCTGGGGCATTCCATTGGACAAGTGGACCACGACCTGCGGCTGGCCCTTTGTCCGGTACCATGTGAAAGTGGAGCTGACGAAATACAAGACGGGAAAAGCAAGAGAGTGCATCAAATGCAAGAATTTGGAGTCAGCGCGCGACAAAGTCAAAGGAGGGTGGCGAGTGGCGCAAACAGTGGACCTCTGAAAACATGAGGCCATTGAAGACCAGACTGAGAGAGACGCGGCTACTTCAAGGAAAAGTATGACTAAGTATGAGCTTTCTTAGGGAGGGAGGAGTGAATGAGGGAGGAGGTGGGTGTGTGCCATTTTGGCTCAAGGCGCACCCATCTCCTCTCTTTTAAAGCCCGCCCACCCAAGTGGCGCAAACAGTGGACCTCTCAAAAGATGAGGCCATGGAAGACTGAGAGAGACACGGCTACTTCAAGGAAAAGTATGAGCTCTCTTAGGGTGGAGGGAGGGAGTTTGAAAACGCGAACTTCCTTATCTATCTATCTGTCTGTCTATCTATCTGTCATTCATTCATTCATTCTTTCTTTCTTCATTTCATTTCATTTCATTTTATTTCATTTTCCTTTTCATTTTCATTTCATTTTCATTTCATTTTCATTTTCATTTTCTTTTTTATTTTCTTTTTCATTTTCTTTTTCATTTCATTTCATTTCATTCATTTCATTTCATTCATTTCATTTCATTCATTTCATTCGTTTCATTCATTTCATTCATTTCATTCATTCATTCATTCATTCATTCATGCATTCATGCATTCATGCATTCATGCATTCAT